TTGCCGGTGGAGTTGACCGCCGCTTTGCAGGGGTGGGGGAGCATCGCCCGCGTGGCTCCACCGGCAGTGTCGGCGTCGTCGTCGTCGTCCTCGTCGGTGGCGGCGCGGTGCGGTGGAGGGGGGGACGGTGGTGGTGATGGATCGGCGCGTTTCGCTCGGTTGTGGTTGGGTGACATGGCTCACCGGTTTCGGGGTTTTTCACCGGTTCGGGGATTTTAACCGGTTATGGAATTTTAACCAGTTCTGGGGTTTTTAACCGGTTCTGGAATTTTAAACGGTTCAGAAATTTTAACCGGTCCTGGAATTTTAACCGGTTATGGAATTTTCACCGGTTATGGAATTTTAACCGGTTTGGGAAGTTTAACCGGTTATGGAATTTTTAACCGGTTCTGGAATTTTAAACGGTTCAGAAATTTTAACCGGTTCTGGAATTTTCACCAGTTCTGGAATTTTTCACCGGTTATGGAATTGTAACCGTTTCGGAGTTTTAACCGGTCCGGGTGAGCGGTAAATGTTGGCGGTGATGGTGGTGGTGCTGACGGTACCGATATTCCGGTGATGGTGGTGCCGATCGTCCGCGGTTGCGGTGTAGCGATGGCACTGGTGGTACCGGTGGGGTGTGGTGCTGATGACCCAGCCGTGGTGTAGCGATGGTGCTGACGGTACCGGTGAAGGTGCTGACGGTACCGGTGAAGGCTCTGGTGGTACCGGTGAAGGTTCTGGTGGTACCGGTGAAGGCTCTGGTGGTACCGGTGAAGGTTCTGGTGGTACCGGTGAAGGTTCTGGTGGTACCGGTGAAGGTTCTGGTGGTACCGGTGAAGGTTCTGGTGGTACCGGTGAAGGTTCTGGCGGTACCGGTGAAGGTTCTGGTGGTACCGGTGAAGGCTCTGGTGGTACGGGCGATGAGACTCTTCCAGGATCCGCAGGTAAAGCGATCACAGCATCGCCAGACTTTGGATTCTCGCCAAAACGCGCGCAACGAAATCTTTGGCCGGTCCTCTGTGCGGCATTCGATTCGATTCCGAGAGTAGTCGACCAAACGCGGACGAATCGATTCCTCAACCGTCACCGCCGGGTCGGTGAACGTCAAAGGTAATCGATTCCTTCGCTGATGCGACGTGAATCGGATCGTCGATTCTTTCAGCATGATGCAATACTGGGTAGGCGATTGGCTCTCCAAAGAAAGACAAAGTAGCCCCAGGTAGCCTCTAGCAGGGCTGTAGGGGCAAGTGCTGTTAGTAGCAGCAGCAGTGTCTATAGACACAGACAAAGGTGCCCCGTGTAGTCTCTAGCAGGCTGTAGGGGCAAGTGCTGTTAGTAGCGAGTAGCACACACAGACAAAGCTCCCCCAGGTAGCCTCTAGCAGGGCTGTAGGGGCAAGGGCTGTTAGTAGTAGCCTGTGACACACACAGACAAAGCTACCCCAGGTAGCCTCTAGCAGGGCTGTAGGGGCAAGGGCTGTCAGTAGTAGCCTGTGACACACACAAAGCTACCCCAGGTAGCCTCTAGCAGGGCTGTAGGGGCAAGGGCTGTCAGTAGTAGCGAGTAGCACACACAGACAAAGCTCCCCCAGGTAGCCTCTAGCAGGGCTGTAGGGGCAAGGGCTGTCAGTAGTAGCGAGCAGCACACACAAAGCTCCCCCAGGTAGCCTCTAGCAGGGCTGTATGGGCAAGTGCTGTTAGTAGCAGCGAGTAGCACACACAGACAAAGCTCCCCCAGGTAGCCTCTAGCAGGGCTGTAGGGGCAAGGGCTGTCAGTAGTAGCGAGCAGCACACACAGACAACGCTCCCCCAGGTAGCCTCTAGCAGGGCTGAAGGGGCAAGGGCTGTCAGTAGTAGCGAGTAGCACACACAGACAAAGCTGCCCCAGGTAGCCTCCAGCAGGGCTGTAGGGGCAAGGGCTGTCAGTAGTAGCGAGCAGCACACACAGACAACGCTCCCCCAGGTAGCCTCTAGCAGGGCTGTAGGGGCAAGGGCTGTCAGTAGTAGCGAGCAGCACACACAGACAACGCTCCCCCAGGTAGCCTCTAGCAGGGCTGAAGGGGCAAGGGCTGTCAGTAGTAGCGAGTAGCACACACAGACAAAGCTGCCCCAGGTAGCCTCCAGCAGGGCCATAGGGGCAAGTGCTGTTAGTAGCAGCAGCAGTGTCTATAGACACACAGACAAAGGTGCCCCGTGTAGCCTCTAGCAGGGCTGTAGGGGCAAGTGCTGTTAGTAGCAGCAGTGTCTATAGACAAAGCTCCCCCAGGTAGCCTCTAGCAGGGCTGTAGGGGCAAGTGCTGTCAGTATTGACTCTGTAGGGGGTTGGGGTGGTGAGTGAGTGACGTCACTTCCCGGAAGCGGTGGCCGCCGTTTCCGCTTCCGGCGGGCCGCGGTGCCGGGCCTCGCTCCGCGCATGCGCGGAGCGAGGCCCGAGACCGGGGAGAGAGACGGGGAGAGATAAGGGAGAGTTCGGGGGAGAGACGGGGGAGAGAGGGGAGAGATAAGGGAGAGTTCGGGGGAGAGACGGGGGAGAGAGGGGAGAGATAAGGGAGAGTTCGGGGGAGAGACGGGGGAGAGAGGGGAGAGATAAGGGAGAGATAAGGGAGAGTTAGAGAGAGAGACGTGAGAGGGGGGAGAGAGAGAGACGGGGAGAGATAAGGGAGAGTTCGGGAGAGAAACTGGGGATAGAGGGGAGAGATAAGGGAGAGATAAGGGAGAGGGGGGAGAGGGAGAGAGACGGGAGAGAGACGGGGGAGAGATAAGGGAGAGTTCGGGGGAGAGAGGGGAGAGATAAGGGAGAGTTCGGGGGAGAGACGGGGGAGAGAGGGGAGATATAAGGGAGAGTTCGGGGGAGAGAGTGGAGAGATAAGGGAGAGTTAAGAGAGAGGGAGGAGAGGGAGAGAGACGGGAGAGATAAGGGAGAGTTCGGGAGATAAACGGGGGAGAGAGGGGAGAGATAAGGGAGAGTTCGGGGGAGAGAGGGGAGAGATAAGGGAGAGGGGGGAGAGAGAGAGACGGGAGAGAGACGGGGAGAGACGGGAGAGATAAGGGAGAGAGACGGGGAGAGATAAGGGAGAGTTTGGGAGAGAGACGGGGGAGAGAGGGGAGAGTTCGGGAGGGAGAGGGGAGAGTTCGGGAGGGAGAGAGGGAGGGGAGAGAGACGGGAGAGAGAGGGGAGAGATAAGGGAGAGTTAAGAGAGAGGGGGGAGAGAGGGGAGAGATAAGGGAGAGATAAGAGAGAGATTGGAGTGATCGGTTATTGGAGGGATCAATAATTGTATTGATCAGTGATTGAAGTGATCAGCCATGGAGGAGGAGTTTGAGGAAATCGACCGCGCTGGAAATTGGACGACTATCTTTAATGTGAGTGTCCACCTGTAACACTGTGTGAGTCTGTGGGTCTCTGTGTGAGTCTGTGGGTGTCTGTGTGAGTCTGTGGGTCTCTGTGTGAGTCTGTGGGTCTCTGTGTGAGTCTATTGGTCACTGTGTGAGTCTGTGGGTCTGTGTGTGAGTCTGTGGGTCTCTGTGTGAGTCTGTGGGTCTCTGTGTGAGTATGTGGGTCTCTGTGTGAGTCTGTGGGTCTCTGTGTGAGTCTGTGGGTCTCTGTGATGAGTCTGTGGGTCTCTGTGTGAGTCTATGGGTCTCTGTGTGGTGAGTCTGTGGGTCTCTGTGATGAGTCTGTGGGTCACTGTGTGAGTCTGTGGGTCTCTGTGATGAGTCTGTGGGTCTCTGTGTGAGTCTGTGGGTCTCTGTGATGAGTCTGTGGGTCTCTGTGTGAGTCTGTGGGTCTCTGTGATGAGTCTGTGGGTCTCTGTGTGAGTCTGTGGGTCTCTGTGATGAGTCTGTGGGTCTCTGTGTGAGTCTGTGGGTCTCTGTGTGAGTCTGTGGGTCTCTGTGATGAGTCTGTGGGTCTCTGTGATGAGTCTGTGGGTCTCTGTGTGAGTCTGTGGGTCTCTGTGTGAGTCTGTGGGTCTCTGTGACGAGTCTGTGGGTCTCTGTGTGAGTCTGTGGGTCTCTGTGATGAGTCTGTGGGTCTCTGTGTGAGTGTCTGTGGGTCTCTGTGTGAGTCTGTGGGTCTCTGTGTGAGTCTGTGGGTCTCTGTGATGAGTCTATGGGTCACTGTGTGAGTCTCTGGGTCTATGTGTGAGTCTCTGGGTCTCTGTGATGAGTCTATGGGTCACTGTGTGAGTCTCTGGGTCTCTGTGTGAGTCTCTGTGTGAGTCTGTGGGTCTCTGTGTGAGTCTGTGGGTCTCTGTAAAGAGTCTATGGGTCACTGTGTGAGTCTCTGGGTCTCTGTGTGAGTCTGTGGGTCTCTGTGTGAGTCTGTGATGAGTCTGTGGGTCACTGTGTGAGTCTGTGGGTCACTGTGTGAGTCTGTGGGTCTCTGTGTGAGTCTGTGGGTCACTGTGTGAGTCTGTGGGTCTCTGTGTGAGTCTGTGATGAGTCTGTGGGTCACTGTGTGAGTCTGTGGGTCACTGTGTGAGTCTGTGGGTCTCTGTGTGAGTCTGTGTGAGTCTGTGGGTCTCTGTGTGAGTCTGTGGGTCTCTGTGATGAGTCTATGGGTCTCTGTGTGAGTCTGTGGGTCTCTGTGTGAGTCTGTGGGTCTCTGTGATGAGTCTATGGGTCTCTGTGATGAGTCTATGGGTCTCTGTGATGAGTCTGTGGGTCTCTGTGTGAGTCTATGGGTCTCTGTGTGAGTCTGTGGGTCTCTGTGTGAGTCTGTGGGTCTCTGTGATGAGTCTGTGGGTCTCTGTTGTGTGATGAGTCTATGGGTCTCTGCTGTGTGATGAGTTTATGGGTCTCTGCTGTGTGATGAGTCTATGGGTCTCTGCTGTGTGATGAGTCTATGGGTCTCTGCTGTGTGATGAGTCTATGGCTCTCTGCTGTGTGATGAGTCTATGGCTCTCTGCTGTGTGATGAGTCTATGGGTCTCTGTTGTGTGATGAGTCTGTGGGTCTCTGCTGTGTGATGAGTCTGTGGGTCTCTGCTGTGTGATGAGTCTGTGGCTCTCTGCTGTGTGATGAGTCTGTGGGTCTCTGCTGTGTGATGAGTCTATGGCTCTCTGCTGTGTGATGAGTCTGTGGGTCTCTGCTGTGTGATGAGTCTATGGCTCTCTGCTGTGTGATGAGTCTGTGGGTCTCTGCTGTGTGATGAGTTTATGGGCCTCTGCTGTGTGATGAGTTTATGGGTCTCTGCTGTGTGATGAGTCTATGGCTCTCTGCTGTGTGATACGTTTATGGGTCTCTGCTGTGTGATGAGTCTGTGGATCTCTGCTGTGTGATGAGTCTGTGGGTCTCTGCTGTGTGATGAGTCTATGGCTCTCTGCTGTGTGATGAGTCTATGGCTCTCTGCTGTGTGATGAGTCTATGGGTCTCTGCTGTGTGATGAGTCTGTGGGTCTCTGCTGTGTGATGAGTCTATGGGTCTCTGTGATGAGTTTGTGGGTCTCTGTGTGAGTCTGTGGGTCTCTGTGTGAGTCTGTGGGTCTGTGTGTGAGTCGGTGGGTCTATGTGTGAGTCTGTGGGTCTCTATGATGAGTCTGTGGGTCTCTGTGTGAGTCTGTTGGCCTCTGTGTGTGATGAGTCTGTGGGTCTCTATGATGAGTCTGTGGGTCTCTATGATGAGCCGGTGGGTCTCTGTGTATTTGGTGTTTGCGCGAGAAACGAGGAAATGCCGCGCGAACATTGTGTCGTCGTTCCGAGTACGGCGTTGGTGCTACCAACTACCGGCATTCCGATGAACCGTGACGCAACAACCACCACCCCCACCACCACCGTCACCACCACCACCACCGCCACCACCACCACCGCCATCATCAACACCACCGCCACCACCACCACAATCACCGCCACTGCCACCACCCCCACCTCCTCCACCACCACTACCATCATCACCACCACCGCCACCACCACCACCATCATCACCACCGCCACCACCACCACCATTATCGCCACCACCACTACCATCATCACCGCCACCGCCACCACCGCCAGGAGAGGCGTCTCACGATCCCAGGAACTCGATGAGCGTCATCGTTGTTTTCAGAAAAAAGGGGAATGTCCGGCAGGATGTTGGGAATAGACGGTGACGGTGGTGGTGGTGGTGACGGTGGTGGTGGTGACGGTGGTGTAGGTGGTGACGGTGGTGGTGGTGGTGGTGACGGTGGTGGCGGTGGTGACGGTGGTGGTGACGGCGGTGGTGGGGCATCAATCAAATTCAGCCCCACTGAATGCATATCAGAGCCATGATGATGATGGTGGTAATGCTGATGATGGTGGTGGTGATTGTGACAGGCTAGAGATGATGGTGATGATGATGATAATGGTGATGATGATGGTGATGATGAGAATGGCGATGATGATGATGGTGGTGTTGATGATGATGTTGATGATGATGAGAATGATGATGATTATGATGATGGTGGTGGTGATGATGATGATGATGGTGGTGATGGTGGTGGTGATGGTGGTGGTGATGATGATGGTGGTGGTGATGATGGTGTTGGTGATGATGATGATGAGAATGGCGATGATGATGATGATGGTGGTGATGATGATGGTGATGATAATGGTGATGATGATGGTGATGATGAGAATGGCGATGATGATGATGGTGGTGATGATGATGATGTTGATGATGATGAGAATGATGATTATGATTATGATGATGGTGGTGGTGGTGATGATGATGGTGGTGGTGGTGATGATGATGATGGTGGTGGTGGTGATGATGATGGTGGTGATGATGATGGTGATAATAATGGTGATGGTGATGAGATTGGCGATGATGATGGTGGTGATGATGGTGATGATGATGATGGTGGTGGTGATGATGGTGGTGATGATAATGATGTTGATGATGATGAGAATGATGATGATTATGATGATGGTGGTGATGATGATGATGGTGGTGATGGTGGTGATGGTGGTGGTGGTGATGATGATGGTGGTGATGATGATGGTGATGATGAGAATCGCGATGATGATGATGGTGGTGATGATGATGTTGATGATGATGATTATGATGATGATGGTGGTGATGATGATGGTGGTGGTGATGATGGTGGTGATGGTGGTGATGGTGGTGGTGATGATGATGATGGTGGCGATGATGATGGTGGTGATGATGATGATGGTGGTGGTGATGATGATGATTATGATGATGATGGTGATGATGATAGTGGTGATGATGATGGTGATGATGATGATGGTAGTGGTGATTATGTTGGTGGTGATGATGATGATGGTGGTGGTGGTGATGATGATAGTGGTGATGATGATGGCGATGATGATGTTGGTGGTGGTGGCGATGATGGTGATGATTATGATAGTGGTGATGATGGTGGTGATGGTGGTGATGGTGGTGGTGATGATGATGGTGGTGGTGATGATGGTGGTGGTGATGGTGGCGATGATGATGATGGTGGCGATGATGATGGTGGTGATGATGATGATGGTGGTGATGATGATGATGGTGGTGGTGATGATGATGATTATGATGATGATGGTGATGATGATAGTGGTGATGATGATGGTGATGATGATGGTGGTGGTGATTATGGTGGTGGTGATGATGATGATGGTGGTGGTGGTGATGATGATAGTGGTGATGATGATGGCGATGATGATGTTGGTGGTGGTGGCGATGATGGTGATGATTATGATAGTGGTGATGATGATGATGATGGTGGCGATGATGGTGATGATGATGGTGATGATTATGATAGTGTGATGGTGATGATGATGGTGGCGATGATGGTGATGATGAGAATGGCAATGATGGTGGTGGTGGTGATGATGAGAATGGCAATGATGATGGTGGTGTTTGTGATGATGAGAATGATGATGATTATGATGATGATGATGGTGATGATGATGGTGATTGTGATGATGGTGATGATGATGGTGGTGGTGATGATGGTGTTGATGATGGTGATGATGGTGATGATGGTGGTGATTGTGATGATGGTGATGATGGTGATGATGGTGGCGATGATGATGGTGATGATGATGGTGATGATGATGGTGATGATTATGATGGTGGTGATGATGATGGCGATGATGATGGTGGTGATGTTGATGATGATGATGATGGCGATGATGATGGTGGTGATGTTGATGATGATGGTGATGATGGTGTTTGTGTGTTCTGACCGCCCCAGGAGATCAAGGAGCAGAGCCGCGACTTCCCCTACAAGGTGGCGAAGAGGCAGGAGAACCGCCTACGGAACCGTTACCGTGACGTCAGCCCCTGTGAGCACTACACTACACTATACACTACACTACTATACACTATACATTACACTATACACTACACTACTATACACTATACACTACTATACACTACACTATACACTACACTACTATACACTACACACTACACTATACACTACACTACACTATACACTACAACACTATACACTATACACTACACTATACACTACACTACTATACACTATACACTACACTATACACTACACTACTATACACTACACACTACACTATACACTACACTATACACTACACTACTATACACTACTACACTATACACTACTACACACTACACCACTACACACTACACTATACACTACACTATACACTACACTATACACTACACTATACACTACTAAACACTACACTACTAAACACTACACTACTATACACTACACTATACACTACACTACTATACACTACACTACACACTACACTACACACTACACTATACACTACTATACACTACACTACACACTACTACACTATACACTACTAAACACTACACTACTATACACTACACTATACACTACACTATACACTACACTACTATACACTACACTATACACTACACTATACACTACTATACACTACACTATACACTACACTACTATACACTACACTACTATACACTACACTACACACTATACACTACTACACTACTACACTATACACTACTACACTATACACTACACACTACATTATACACTACATTCTGCTGGAGGCTACCTGGGGGACCTTTGCCTGTGTAGCTATAGACATTGCTGCTACTAACAGCACTTGCCCCTACAGCCCTGCTAGAGGCTACCTGGGCGACCTTTGCCTGTGTAGCTACCGGCACTTGCCCCTACGGCCCTGTTGGAGGCTACCTGGGCGACCTTTGCCTGTGTAACTACCGGCACTTGCCCATACAGCCCTGCTGGAGGCTACCTGGGGGACCTTTGCCTGTGTAGCTACCATCACTGCTGCTGCTGCTCACAGCACTTGCCCATTCGGCCCTGCTGGAGGCTACCTGGGCGACCTTTGCCTGTGTAGCTACCGGCACTTGCCCCTACGGCCCTGCTGGAGGCTACCTGGGGCACCTTTGCCTGTGTGTCTATAGACACTCTTGCTGCTGCTCACAGCACTTGCCCCTAGCGCCCTGCTGGAGGCTACCTGGGGGACCTTTGCATGTGTAGCTACCATCACTGCTGCTGCTGCTCACAGCACTTGCCCCTAGGGCCCTGCTGGAGGCTACCTGGGCGACCTTTGCCTGTGTAGCTACCGGCACTTGCCCCTACAGCCCTGCTGGAGGCTACCTGGGGGACCTTTGCCTGTGTGTCTGTGCAGACGACCACAGCCGGGTGCGGCTGCAGCGCGGCGGTAACGACTACATCAACGCCAGCCACTTGGAGGCCGCTCAGCGCAGATACATCCTGACACAGGTACACAGTGTGTACACACACACACATACACACACAGTGTGTACACACACACATACACACACATACATACACATACATACACACACAGTGTGTACACACACACATACACACACATACATACACACACATACACACACAGTGTGTACACACACACATACACACACATACACAGGTACACACACACAGGTACACACACACATACACAGTGTGTACACACACACATACACACACACACACAGGTACACACACACACACAGGTACACACACACATACACACACATACACAGTGTACACACACATACACAACAACAACAACAACTTCCATTCGCCACTAAGTGGCGGTGACGTCACCACGATGCTTGTGCCAGGCCAAGTGCACCTTGAGGCCACATGAAGTGTCGAACGCCCGCTGGCAGGAGGTCACGGGGCAGACCCAGCAGGTGCCACGGGTCGACTGACCGAGATGACCGAGATGACTGGCTGATGCACCACCTGTGCCCCCTACTGTACCAACTTGCTGTGCTTTAGCCACCCGGCGCTCCGCTCGTTGTTGTGAGCGTCGCTCCTCCGCCCTCCGTTGTTGCTGGAGGGCGACTGCTTCCAACTGCCCAGTAGCGTCCTTCACGAGCCTCCTCCACTGAGGCCGATCTTGACACCGCTGGTACCGGTCATCGGCAAGTCCACTCAGCTCCACGTCCTCCTGTACCACGTCACTCCATCTCTTCTCTAGCCCCCCGTGCCGCGCCCGTCTAGCCCCCTCGATCCGGCCGAACAAAAGCTGTTTAGGCATGCGGTGGCTGGGCATGCGGGCTACATGACCCAGCCAACGCATACATACACACACACACACTGGTACACACACACACATACACACAGTGTGTACACACACACATACACACTGATACACACAGTGTGTACACACACACTGCTACACACACATATACACACACACACACTGCTACACACACACATACACACACACACTGCTACACATACACACACACATACACACACACATACACACACATACACACACATACACACTGATACACACAGTGTGTACACACACACACACACTGCTACACACACACATACACACAGTGTGTACACACACACATACACACACATACACACACATACACACTGATACACACAGTGTGTACACACACACACACTGCTACACACACACATACACACAGTGTGTACACACACACATACACACACACACATACACACACACATACACACACATACACACACATACACACTGATACACACAGTGTGTACACACACACACACTGCTACACACACACATACACACAGTGTGTACACACACACATACACACACACACTGCTACACACACACGTAGCCGGGTATGGGTACGGGTACCCGTTTGCGACCCTGGTGCGGCCGGGTACGGGTACGGGTAGGGTATGGGTAGGGTATGGGTAGGGTACGGGTAGGGTACGGGTAGGGTACGGGTAGGGTAGGGTACGGGTAGGGTACGGGTAGAGTACGGGTACGGGTAGGGTACGGGTAGGGTACGGGTAGAGTACGGGTAGGGTACGGGTAGAGTACGGGTACGGGTAGAGTACGGGTACGGGTAGAGTACGGGTAGGGTAGGGTACGGGTAGGGTACGGGTAGAGTACGGGTAGGGTACGGGTAGGGTACGGGTAGAGTACGGGTACGGGTAGAGTACGGGTACGGGTACGGGTAGAGTACGGGTAGGGTACGGGTAGAGTACGGGTAGGGTAGGGTACGGGTAGGGTACGGGTAGAGTACGGGTAGGGTACGGGTAGGGTACGGGTAGAGTACGGGTAGGGTACGGGTAGGGTACGGGTAGGGTAGGGTACGAGAGTATGGGTACGTAGGGTACGGTGTACGGGTAGGGTACGGGTAGGTACGGGTAGGGTAGGGTACGGGTAGGGTAGGGTACGGGTACGGGTAGGGTACGGGTAGGGTACGGGTAGGGTAGGTACGGGTAGGGTACGGGTAGGGTACGGGTACGGGTAGGGTACGGGTAGGGTACGGGTACGGGTAGGGTACGGGTAGAGCACGGTAGGGTAGGGTACGGTAGGGTACGGGTACGGGTAGGGTACGGGTAGGGTACGGGTACGGGTAGGGTACGGTAGGGTAGGGTACGGGTAGATTGGGTAGGGTAGGTAGGGTACGGGTAGGGTACGGTAGGGTACGGGTAGGGTACGGGTAGGGTACGGGTAGGGTACGGGTAGAGTACGGGTACGAGGGTACGGGTAGGGTACGGGTAGGGTAGGGTACGGGTAGAGTACGGGTAGGGTACGGGTAGAGTACGGGTAGGGTACGGGTAGGGTACGGGTAGGGTAGGGTACGGGTAGAGTATGGGTACGGTAGGGTATGGGTACGGGTACGGGTAGGGTACGGGTAGGGTAGGGTACGGGTAGAGTACGGGTAGGGTAGGGTACGGGTAGGGTACGGGTAGGGTAGGGTACGGGTAGGGTACGGGTAGGGTACGGGTACGGGTAGGGTACGGGTAGGTACGGGTAGGGTACGGGTAGGGTACGGGTACGGTAGGGTACGGGTAGGGTACGGGTAGGGTAGGGTACGGGTAGGGTACGGGTACGGGTAGAGCACGGGTAGGGTAGGGTACGGGTAGGGTACGGGTACGGGTAGGGTACGGGTAGGGTGAGCGGGTAACGGTAGGGTAGGGTACGGTAAGTATGGGTAAGGGGTAGGTGGGTACGGGTAGGGTACGGGTAGGGTACGGGTAGGGTACGGGTAGGGTACGGGTACGGGTAGGGTACGGGTACGGGGGGTAAGGAATCAAAACCCGTTTGCGACCTCTGGCGTAGAGTAGCAGCCAGAGGTCGGGGCAGATGGAGCAAGTCTGAGGCACAACTAGCTGGTCAGACTACAATACACACACACATACTGGTACATACACGCATACATACTGGTACACACACACATACACTGGTACATACACACACGCATACACACTGGTACAACACACACATACACTGTACATACACACACGCAGACACACTGGTAACACCACACATACACTGGTACATACCACACGCATACACACTGGTACACACCACATACACTGGTACATACACACACGCATACACACTGTACATACACACACATACACTGTACATACACACACCGCATACACACTGGTACACACACATACACTGGTACATACACACATGCATACACACTGGTACACACACACATACACTGGTACATACACACACGCATACACACTGGTACACACACACATACACTGGTACATACACACACGCATACACACTGGTACACACACACATACACTGGTACATACACACACGCATACACACTGGTACACACACACATACACTGGTACATACACACACGCATACACACTGGTACACACACACATACACTGGTACATACACACACGCATACACACTGGTACATACACACACATACACTGGTACATACACACACGCATACACACTGGTACACACACATACACTGGTACATACACACACGCATACACACTGGTACACACACGCGCATACACACTGGTACATACACACACATACACTGGTACACACACACACACATACACTGGTACATACACGCATACATACTGGTACATACACACACACATACACTGGTACATACACGCATACATACTGGTACACACACACACGCATTCACACTGGTACATACACACACATACACACTGGTACATACACACACACACACTGGTACACACTGGTACATACACACACACACTGCGTCTCTCCCCCCGTGTCTCTCCCCCCGTGTCTCTCACCGCATCTCTCCCCCCGCGTCTCTCCCCCCGCGTCTCTCCCCCCGTGTCTCTCCCCGTGTCTCCCCCCGCGTCTCTCCTTCCGTGTCTCTCCCCGTGTCTCTCCCCCCGTGTTTCTCTCCCCGTGTCTCTCCCCGTGTCTCTCTCCCCGTGTCTCTCCCCCCGTGTCTCTCCCCCCGTGTCTCTCCCCCCGTGTCTCTCCCCGTGTCTCTCCCCGTGTCTCTCCCCGTCTCTCCCCGTGTCTCCCCGTGTCTCTCCCTGTGTCTCTCCCCCCGTGTCTCTCCCCGTGTCTCTCCCCCCGTGTCTCTCCCCGTGTCTCCCCCCGTGTCTCTCCCCGTGTCTCTCCCCATGTCTCTCCCCGTCTCTCCCCGTGTCTCCCCGTGTCTCCCCGTGTCTCTCCCTGTGTCTCTCCCCCCGTGTCTCTCCCTGTGTCTCTCCCCCCGTGTCTCCCCGTGTCTCCCCGTGTCTCTCCCTGTGTCTCTCCCCCCGTGTCTCTCCCCGTGTCTCTCCCCCCGTGTCTCTCCCCCCGTGTCTCTCCCCCCGTGTCTCTCCCCGTGTCTCCCCCCGTGTCTCTCCCCGTGTCTCTCCCCGTGTCTCTCTCCGTGTCTCCCCGTGTCTCTCCCCGTGTCTCTCCCCCCGTGTCTCTCCCCCTGTGTCTCTCCCCGTGTCTCTCCCCATGTCTCTCCCCGTGTCTCCCCGTGTCTCTCTCCGTGTCGCCCCGTGTCTCCCCCCGTGTCTCTCTCCGTGTCGCCCCGTGTCTCTCCCCGTGTCTCTCCAACGCCCCATCCTGGCGCTGCCACCACTGATCCCCCTGCCCCCCCCCCGTGCCCCCCCTCCCCCCCCCTTGCCTCCCCCCCCGTGCCCCCCCCCGTGCCCCCCCCTCCCCCCCCCTTGCCTCCCCCCCCGTGCCCCCCCTCCCCCCCCGTGCCCCCCCCCGTGCCTCCCCCCCCTTGCCTCCCCCCCCGTGCCCCCCTCCCCCCCCGTGCCCCCCCCCGTGCCTCCCCCCCCGTGCCTCCCCCCCCGTGCCCCCCTCCCCCCCCGTGCCCCCCCCCTCCCCCCCCAGGGCCCCCTCCCCGGCACGTGCGGCCACTTCTGGCAGATGGTTTGGGAGCAAAGGTCACGAGCCGTCGTCATGCTGAACCGCCTCGTGGAGAAGGGATCGGTGCGGACACCACAACAACCACCACAACCACAACAACCACAACAACCACAACAATTACAACAACAACAACAATTACAACAACAACAACAACCACAACAACAACCACAACAACCACAATAACAACAATTACAACAACAACCACTACAACAACAACAACTACAACAACCACAACAATCACAACAACCACAACAACAACAACAACCACAACAACCACAACAACCACTACAACAACCACAACAACAACAATTACAACAACAAACACAACAACAACAACAACCACAACAACCACAACAACAACCACAACAACAACTACAACCACTACAACAACAACCACTACAACAACAACCACAATAACAACCACAACAACAACAACCATCACAGCCATGAGTGAGTGTGTGTGGTGAGTGTGTGCGGTGAGTGTGTGGTGTGTGTGAGTGGTGAGTGTGTGGTGAATGTGAGTGAGTGGTGAGCGTGGTGAGTGAGTGGTGAGTGTGGTGAGCGTGGTGTGTGGTGAGAGCGTGGTGAGTGAGTGAGTGTGTATGGTGAGTGTGGTGAGCGTGGTGTGTGGTGTGGTGAGTGTGGTGAGTGTGTATGATGAGTGAGTGGTGAGTGAGTGGTGAGTGAGTGGTGAGCGTGGTGAGTGTGGTGAGTGTGTATGATGAGTGAGTGGTGAGTGAGTGGTGAGTGAGTGGTGAGCGTGGTGAGTGTGGTGAGTGTGTATGATGAGTGAGTGAGTGGTGAGCGTGGTGAGTGTGGTGAGTGTGTATGATGAGTGAGTGGTGAGTGAGTGAGTGGTGAGCGTGGTGAGTGTGTATGATGAGTGAGTGGTGAGTGAGTGGTGAGTGAGTGGTGAGTGAGTGGTGAGCGTGGTGAGTGTGGTGAGTGTGTATGATGAGTCAGTGGTGAGTGAGTGGTGAGTGAGTGGTGAGCGTGGTGAGTGTGGTGAGTGTGTATGATGAGTGAGTGGTGAGTGAGTGGTGAGCGTGGTGTGTGGTGTGGTGTGTGTGGTGAGTGTGTGTGGTGAGTGTGTGAGTGTGTGGTGAGTGAGTGGTGAGCGTGGTGTGTGTGGTGTGTGTGTGTGGTGTGGTGAGTGAGTGTATGGTGAGCGTGGTGTGTAGGGTGAGTGTGTATGTGGTGAGTGTGGTGAGTGAGTGAGTGAGTGGTGAGTGTGTGTGGTGAGTGAGTGTGGTGAGTGAGTGGTGAGCGTGTGGTGAGCGTGGTGAGTGTGTGTGGTGTGTGTGAGTGGTGAGCGTGTGTGTATGTAGTGTGTGTGGTAAGTGTGTGGTGAGTGTGGTGAGTGTGTGTGGTGAGTGAGTGGTGAGTGAGTGGTGAGCGTGGTGTGTGGTGTGGTGAGTGTGGTGAGTGAGTGTGTGTGGTGAGTGGTGAGTGAGTGGTGAGTGTGTGGTGAATGTGAGTGAGTGGTGAGCGTGGTGTGTGAGTGGTGAGTGAATGTGAGTGTGGTGAGTGAGTGAGTGGTGAGTGTGGTGTGTGGTGTGGTGAGCGAGTGGTGAGTGGTGAGTGAGTGGTGAGCGTGGTGTGTGGTGTGGTGAGTGTGGTGAGTGAGTGTGGTGTGTGTGTGGTGAGCGTGGTGAGTGTGTGGTGAGTGAGTGGTGAGTGAGTGTGGTGTGTGTGTGGTGAGCGTGGTGAGTGTGTGGTGAGTGAGTGGTGAGTGAGTGTGGTGTGTGGTGTGGTGAGTGCAGGTCAAGTGTGCTCAGTACTGGCCGTCCCGTGGTGAGCGTGAGGTGGGTGAGTGTGTGGTGAGTGAGTGGTGAGTGTGGTGTGTGGTGTGGTGAGTGCAGGTCAAGTGTGCTCAGTACTGGCCGTCCCGTGGTGAGCGTGAGGTGAGTTTCCCGGACGTGGCCTTGCGGCTCACCCTCCTGGGTGAGCAGATCAAGGACGACTACACCCTGAGGCAGCTGCAGCTCCACAACATCACGGTGAGTCGCTCACCACAACGCTCACCACCACGCTCACCGCCACACTCACCACGCTCACCACCACACTCACCACCACACTCACCACCTCGCTCACCACCACGCTCACCACCACGCTCACCACCACGCTCACCACCACACTCACCACCTCGCTAACCACCACGCTCACCAACACGCTCACCACCACGCTCACCACGCTCACCACCACACTCACCACCACGCTCACCGCCACACTCACCACGCTCACCACCACACTCACCACCACACTCACCACCACGCTCACCACCACGCTCACCACCACACTCACCACCTCGCTCACCACCACGCTCACCACCACGCTCACCGCCACACTCACCACGCTCACCACCACACTCACCACCACACTCACCACCTCGCTCACCACCACGCTCACCACCACGCTCACCACCACGCTCACCACCACACTCACCACCTCGCTCACCACCACGCTCACCACCACGCTCACCACGCTCACCACCACACTCACCACCACACTCACCACCTCGCTCACCACCACGCTCACCACCACGCTCACCACCACGCTCACCACCACACTCACCACCACACTCACCACCACGCTCACCGCCACACTCACCACCACGCTCACCACCACGCTCACCACGCTCACCACCACACTCACCACCACGCTCACCACCACGTTCACCACCACCCCTATCAGCCTCACCACGCTCACCACCCCCACCACACTCACCACGCTCACTACCTTCACCACACTCACCACACTCACCACACTCACCACACTCACCACGCTCACCACTCACCACCCCCACCACACTCACCACGCTCACCACGCTCACCACGCTCACCACCCCCACCACACTCACCACCACGCTCACCACTCTCACCACTCTCACCACTCTCACCACTCTCACCACCCCCACCACACTCACCATGCTCACAACCACACTCACCACTCACCACTCCCCCTGTCTCTCCCCCACTCACCACCCTCACCACCACCACCACGCTCACCACTCACCACCCCCCTGTCTCTCCCCCACTCACCACGCTTACCACCACCACCACGCTCACCACTCACCACTCCCCCTGTCTCTCCCCTACTCACCACCCTCACCACCACCACCACGCTCACCACTCACCACCCCCCTGTCTCTCCCCCACTCACCACGCTCACCACCACCACCACGCTCACCACTCACCACTCCCCCTGTCTCTCCCCCACTCACCACCCTCACCACCACCACCACGCTCACCACTCACCACCCCCCTGTCTCTCCCCCACTCACCACGCTTACCACCACCACCACGCTCACCACTCACCACTCCCCCTGTCTCTCCCCTACTCACCACCCTCACCACCACCACCACGCTCACCACTCACCACCCCCCTGTCTCTCCCCCACTCACCACGCTCACCACCACCACCACGCTCACCACTCACCACTCCCCCTGTCTCTCCCCTACTCACCACCCTCACCACCACCACCACGCTCACCACTCACCACCCCCCTGTCTCTCCCCCACTCACCACGCTCACCACCACCACCACGCTCACCACTCACCACTCCCCCTGTCTCTCCCCCACTCACCACCCTCACCACCACCACCACGCTCACCACTCACCACCCCCCTGTCTCTCTCCCACTCACCACGCTCACCACCACCACCACGCTCACCACTCACCACCCCCCTGTCTCTCCCCCACTCACCGCGCTCTCCCCCACCACCACGCTCACCACTCACCGCTCCCCCTGTCTCTCCCCCACTCACCACCCTCACCACCACCACCACGCTCACCACTCACCACCCCCCTGTCTCTCTCCCACTCACCACGCTCACCACTCACCACCCCCCTGTCTCTCTCCCACTCACCACGCTCACCACTCACCACCCCCCTGTCTCTCTCCCCGCGTCACCAGACAGGAGAAAGCCGCACTGCTCTTCCACTACACCACCACACTCACCACCCCCACCACCCTCACCACACTCACCACACTCACCACACTCACCACCACACTCACCACGCTCACCACACTCACCACACTCACCACACTCACCACCACACTCACCACGCTCACCACACTCACCACACTCACCACACTCACCACCACACTCACCACGCTCACCACACTCACCACACTCACCACACTCACCACCACGCTCACCACGCTCACCACGCTCACCACGCTCACCACCCTCACCACTCACCCCCCCTGTCTCCCCCCGCTCACCAGACAGAAGAAAGTCGCACGGCTCTGCACTTCCACTACACCACCACACTCACCACCCTCACCACCCTCACCACCCTCACCACCACGCTCACCACTCACCACCCTGTGTCCCCACTCACCAGACAGGAGAAAGCCGCACTGCTCTGCACTTCCACTACACCACGTGGCTCACCACACTCACCACACTCACCACACTCACCACACTCACCACACTCACCACGCTCACCACGCTCACCACACTCACCACGCTCACCACGCTCACCACACTCACCACTCACCACACTCACCACACTCACCACGCTCACCACGCTCACCACGCTCACCACACTCACCACGCTCACCACGCTCACCACGCTCACCACACTCACCACACTCACCACACTCACGCTCACCACGCTCACCACTACACCACCACACTCACCACCCCCACCACGCTCACCACCCTCACCACCACGCTCACCACCCTCACCACCACGCTCACCACACTCACCACGCTCACCACACTCACCACACTCACCACGCTCACCACACTCACCACACTCACCACACTCACCACGCTCACCACTACACCACCACACTCACCACCCTCACCACCACGCTCACCACACTCACCACCACTGCCCCTGTCTCCCCGCTCACCAGACAGGAGAAAGTCGCACCGCTCTCCACTTCTACTACACCACCACGCTCACCACACTCACCACACTCACCACGCTCACCACTCACCACCCCCCGTCTCCCCCCACTCACCAGACAGGAGAAAGTCGTACCACTCTCCACTTCCACTACACCACCACACTCACCACCCACACCACGCTCACCACCACGCTCACCACCACACTCACCACCCCCACCACGCTCACCACCACGCTCACCACCACACTCACTACCCCCACCACTCTCACCACTCCCCCTGTCTCTCCCCCACTCACCACCCCCACCACCCCCACCACGCTCACCACTCACCACTCCCCGTCTCTCCCCCACTCACCACCCCCACCACCCCCACCACGCTCACCACTCACCACTCCCCGTCTCTCCCCCACTCACCACCCCCACCACCCCCACCACGCTCACCACTCACCACTCCCCGTCTCTCCCCCACTCACCACCCCCACCACCCCCACCACGCTCACCACTCACCACTCCCCGTCTCTCCCCCACTCACCACCCCCACCACCCTCACCACCACGCTCACCACACTCACCACTCACCACACTCACCCCCCTGTCTCTCCCAACTCACCAGACAGGAGAAAGTCGCACGGCTCTCCACTTCCACTACACGACGTGGCCCGACTTTGGGGTCCCCGACTCTCCGGCCTCGTTCCTCAGCTTCCTGCAGGAGGTCCGCTCCAGCGGAGCGCTGGCGCCAACGCACGGACCCAGCCTCGTGCACTGCAGCGCCGGCATCGGACGCTCCGGGACCTTCTGCCTGGTGGACACGTGTCTGTTGCTGGTGGGTGGGTGGGTGGGTGAGCGAGTGAGCAAGTGGCTGGGTGGGTGAGTGAGTGAGTGGGTGAGTGGGTGGGTGAGTGGGTGGGTGGGTGGGTGAGCGAGTGAGTGAGTGGCTGAGTGAGTGGCTGAGTGAGTGGCTGAGTGAGCGAGTGGCTGAGTGAGTGAGTGGCTGCGTGAGTGAGTTGGTGAGTGGGTGAGTGGGTGGGTGAGTGAGTGAGTGGGTGGGTGGGTGGGTGAGTGAGTGAGTGGGTGAGTAAGTGAGTGGCTGAGTGAATGAGTGAGTGGGTGGGTGAGTGGCCCAGCCTCGTGCACTGCAGCGCCGGCATCGGACGTTCCGGCACCTTCTGCCTGGTCGACACGTGCTTGTTGCTGGTGGGTGGGTGGGTGGGTGAGTGGCTGAGCGAGTGAGCAAGTGGCTGGGTGAGTAGCTGAGTGAGTGAGTGAGTGGCTGAGTGAGTGGGTGGGTGGGTGGGTGAGTGGGTGGGTGGGTGAGTGGGTGGGTGAGTGGGTGAGTGAGTGAGTGGGTGGGTGAGTGGGTGGGTGGGTGGGTGAGTGAGTGAGTGGGTGGGTGGGTGAGTGGGTGGGTGGGTGAGTGGGTGGGTGAGTGGGTGAGTGAGTGAGTGAGTGGGTGAGTGGGTGGGTGGGTGGGTGGGTGAGTGAGTGAGTGGGTGGGTGGGTGGGTGGGTGAGTGAGTGAGTGAGTGGGTGAGTGGGTGGGTGGTGGGTGGGTGAGTGGGTGGGTGGGTGGGTGGGTGAGTGGGTGGGTGAGTGAGTGGCTGAGTGAGTGAGTGGCTGAGTGAGTGAGTGGGTGAGTGGCCCAGCCTCGTGCACTGCAGCGCCGGCATCGGACGCTCCGGGACCTTCTGCCTGGTGGACACGTGTCTGTTGCTGGTGGGTGGGTGGGTGGGGGGGTGAGTGGGTGGGTGGGTGAGTGGCTGAGTGAGTGGGTGAGTGGGTGGGTGGGTGGGTGGGTGAGTGAGTGGGTGGGTGGGTGGGTGAGTGGGTGGGTGGGTGGGTGAGTGGGTGGGTGGGTGGGTGGTGGGTGGGTGGGTGAGTGGCTGAGTGGGTGAGTGAGTGAGTGAGTGGGTGGGTGAGTGAGTGAGTGGGTGGGTGAGTGAGTGGGTGGGTGGGTGGGTGGGTGGGTGGGTGAGTGAGTGGGTGGGTGGGTGGGTGAGTGGGTGGGTGGGTGGGTGAGTGGGTGGGTGGGTGTTGTGGGTGGGTGGGTGAGTGGCTGAGTGGGTGAGTGAGTGAGTGGGTGGGTGAGTGAGTGAGTGAGTGAGTGAGTGGGTGGGTGAGTGAGTGAGTGAGTGGGTGGGTGGGTGGGTGGCTGAGTAAGAGAGTGAGTGGGTGGGTGAGTGAGTGGCTGAGTGAGTGAGTGGCTGATTGAGTGAGTGGCTGAGTGAGTAAGTGAGTGGCTGAGTGAGTGAGTGGCCGAGTGAGTAAGCGGGTGGCTGAGTAAGTGAGTGGCCGAGTGACGCAAACTCCAAATCAACAGCCGACGTCACGGTCGGGCTGGAACCGACGACCTCCCGTACCCCCGGCGAGGTCGTCAACATCTCTCCTGCCCCCGTGGCGCCCGCTACAGATGGCCGCCGGTGCTGACGACGACGCCGGCGGTGGTGGCCGTGGTGGCGGTGGTGGTGGTGGTGGTGGTGGACCCTCCCCGGTGGACATCCGTGCCGTGCTGCTGGAGATGAGGACGTCCCGCATGGGACTGATCCAGACGCCGGACCAGCTCCGCTTCTCGTACCTCGCCGTCATCGAAGGCGCCAAGATCGTGACGCTGGCTGCCGGCGCTGGCGGCAGCGACGATGACGGAATCGAGGCGAGTTGCGTTTTGGCGCTTGTGGACGCGGTGGGATGAGTCTGTGGGTTTCTGTGTGAGTCTCTGGGTCTCTGTGTGAGGCTGTGGGTCTCTGTGTGAGTCTGTGGGTTTCTGTGTGAGTCTCTGGGTCTCTGTGTGAGGCTGTGGGTCTCTGTGTGAGTCTGTGTGAGTCTGTGGGTTTCTGTGTGAGTCTCTGGGTCTCTGTGTGAGGCTGTGGGTCTCTGTGTGAGTCTGTGTGTCTCTGTGATGATTCGGTGGGTCTCTGTGTGAGTCTGTGGGTTTCTGTGATGAGTCTGTGCTTCTCTGTGATGAGTCGGTGGGTCTATGTGTGAGTCTCTGGGTCTCTGTGTGAGTCTGTGGGTCTCTGTGATGAGTCTATGGGTCTCTGTGATGAGTCTGTGGGTCTCTGTGATGAGTTTGTGGGTCTCTGTGTGAGTCTGTGGGTCTCTGTGATGAGTCTATGGGTCTCTGTGATGAGTCTATGGGTCTCTGTGATGAGTCTGTGGGTCTCTGTGTGAGTCTGTGGGTCTCTGTGTGAGTCTGTGGATCTCTGTGATGAGTCTGTGGGTCTCTGTGATGAGTCTGTGGGTCTCTGTGATGAGTCTGTGGGTCTCTGTGTGAGTCTGTGGGTCTCTGTGATGAGTCTGTGGGTCTCTATGATGAGTCTATGGGTCTCTATGATGAGTCTATGGGTCTCTATGATGAGTCTGTGGGTCTCTATGATGAGTCTATGGGTCTCTGTGATGAGTCTATGGGTTTCTGTGTGAGTCTATGGGTCTCTATGATGAGTCTGTGGGTCTCTATGATGAGTCTGTGAGTCTCTGCTGTGTGATGAGTCTGTGGGTCTCTGATTTGTGATGAGTCTATGGCTCTCTGCTGTATGATGAGTCTGTGGCTCTCTGCTGTGTGATGAGTCTATGGGTCTCTGCTGTGTGATGAGTCTGTGGGTCTCTGCTTTGTGATGAGTCTATGGGTCTCTGCTCTGTGATGAGTCTATGGGTCTCTGCTTTGTGATGAGTCTTTGGGTCTCTGCTGTGTGATGAGTCTGTGGCTCTCTGCTGTGTGATGAGTCTATGGGTCTCTGCTGTGTGATGAGTCTATGGGTCTCTGCTGTGTGATGAGTCTGTGGGTCTCTGCTTTGTGATGAGTCTATAGGTCTCTGCTGTGTGATGAGTCTATGGGTCTCTGCTGTGTGATGAGTCTGTGGGTCTCTGCTTTGTGATGAGTCTATGGGTCTCTGCTGTGTGATGAGTCTATGGGTCTCTGCTGTGTGATGAGTCTATGGCTCTCTGCTGTGTGATGAGTCAATGGGTCTCTGTGTGTGATGAGTCTATGGGTCTCTGCTGTGTGATGAGTCTATGGGTCTCTGCTCTGTGATGAGTCTATGGCTCTCTGCTGTGTGATGAGTCTATGGGTCTCTGCTGTGTGATGAGTCTATGGGTCTCTGCTGTGTGATGAGTCTGTGGGTCTCTGTGATGGTCTGTGGGTCTCTGCTGTGTGATGAGTCTATGGGTCTCTGCTCTGTGATGAGTCTATGGGTCTCTGCTCTGTGATGAGTCTATGGGTCTCTGCTGTGTGATGAGTCAATGGGTCTCTGTGTGTGATGAGTCTATGGGTCTCTGCTGTGTGATGAGTCTATGGGTCTCTGCTCTGTGATGAGTCTATGGCTCTCTGCTGTGTGATGAGTCTATGGGTCTCTGCTGTGTGATGAGTCTATGGGTCTCTGCTGTGTGATGAGTCTGTGGGTCTCTGTGATGAGTCTATGGGTTTCTGTGTGAGTCTATGGGTCTCTATGATGAGTCTGTGGGTCTCTATGATGAGTCTGTGAGTCTCTGCTGTGTGATGAGTCTGTGGGTCTCTGATTTGTGATGAGTCTATGGCTCTCTGCTGTGTGATGAGTCTGTGGCTCTCTGCTGTGTGATGAGTCTATGGGTCTCTGCTGTGTGATGAGTCTGTGGGTCTCTGCTTTGTGACGAGTCTATGGGTCTCTGCTCTGTGATGAGTCTATGGGTCTCTGCTTTGTGATGAGTCTTTGGGTCTCTGCTGTGTGATGAGTCTGTGGCTCTCTGCTGTGTGATGAGTCTATGGGTCTCTGCTGTGTGATGAGTCTGTGGGTCTCTGCTTTGTGATGAGTCTATGGGTCTCTGCTGTGTGATGAGTCTATGGGTCTCTGCTGTGTGATGAGTCTATGGCTCTCTGCTGTGTGATGAGTCAATGGGTCTCTGTGTGTGATGAGTCTATGGGTCTCTGCTGTGTGATGAGTCTATGGGTCTCTGCTCTGTGATGAGTCTATGGCTCTCTGCTGTGTGATGAGTCTATGGGTCTCTGCTGTGTGATGAGTCTATGGGTCTCTGCTGTGTGATGAGTCTGTGGGTCTCTGTGATGGTCTGTGGGTCTCTGCTGTGTGATGAGTCTATGGGTCTCTGCTCTGTGATGAGTCTATGGGTCTCTGCTGTGTGATGAGTCTATGGGTCTCTGCTCTGTGATGAGTCTATGGCTCTCTGCTGTGTGATGAGTCTATGGGTCTCTGCTGTGTGATGAGTCTGTGGGTCTCTGTGATGAGTCTGTGGGTCTCTGCTGTGTGATGAGTCTGTGGGTCTCTGTGATGAGTCTATGGGTTTCTGCTCTGTGATGAGTCTATGGGTTTCTGCTGTGTGATGAGTCAATGGGTCTCTGTGTGTGATGAGTCTATGGGTGTCTGCTGTGTGATGAGTCTATGGGTCTCTGTGTGTCCCTGTCCACTCCAGGAGGGATGGATGGAGCTGTCGAACGATGATGGCGGCGACGGCGGTGGTGGCGGTGGTGGTGGTGGCGGTGGTGGCGGTGGTGGTGGTGGCGGTGGTGGCGGTGGTGGTGGTGGCCAATGGTCGGCTGACCAACTTTCACCGGACTTGCCGCCGCCGCCGCCACCGCGTCCAGAACGTCGCCCGGCACCGGATCTCACCATCACCGCCTCCTCCTCCTCCTCCTCCTCTTCCTCCGTCAACTCCTCACCGTCTCCACCGCCATCGCCGCCATCGCCGCCATCGTCGCCGACGGCGGAGCCGGCGTTACGGTTTCGGCGCGTTGCCGGGACGACGGCTGAGCCGGTGTCGGTGTTGCCGGGATATCCGGAGGAGGAGGCGGCCGACAGGAACGTTGACGACGAGGAGGAGAAGGGGGCGGCAGATGCCGGGTGGCAAAACTCGAGGTGACTGCACGAAACTCATCACACAGCAGAGACCCACAGACTCATCACACAGCAGAGACCCACAGACTCATCACACAGCAGAGAGCCACAGACTCATCACACAGCAGAGACCCATAGACTCATCACACAGCAGAGACCCATAGACTCATCACACAGCAGAGACCCATAGACTCATCACACAGCAGAGACCCATAGACTCATCACACAGCAGAGACCCACAGACTCATCACACAGCAGAGACCCATAGACTCATCACACAGCAGAGAGCCACAGACTCATCACACAGCAGAGACCCATAGACTCATCACACAGCAGAGACCCATAGACTCATCACACAGCAGAGACCCATAGACTCATCACACAGCAGAGACCCATAGATTCATCACACAGCAGAGACCCACAGACTCATCACACAGCAGAGACCCATAGACTCATCACACAGCAGAGAGCCACAGACTCATCACACAGCAGAGACCCATAGACTCATCACACAGCAGAGACCCATAGACTCATCACACAGCAGAGACCCATAGACTCATCACACAGCAGAGAGCCACAGACTCATCACACAGCAGAGACCCATAGACTCATCACACAGCAGAGACCCACAGACTCATCACACAGCAGAGACCCATAGACTCATCACACAGCAGAGACCCACAGACTCATCACACAGCAGAGACCCACAGACTCACACAGAGAGGCATAGACTCATCACACAGCAGAGACCCATAGATTCATCACACAGCAGAGACCCATAGACTCATCACAGAGACCCACAGACTCATCGCAGAGACCCGTAGACTCATCACAGAGACCCACAGACTCATCACAGAGACCCGTAGACTCATCACAGAGACCCATAGACTCATCACAGAGACCTACAGACTCATCACAGAGACCCACAGACTCATCACAGAGACCCACAGACTCATCACAGAGACCCACAGACTCATCACAGAGACCCACAGACTCATCACAGAGACCCGTAGACTCATCACAGAGACCCACAGACTCATCACAGAGACCCACAGACTCATCACAGAGACCCACAGACTCATCACAGAGACCCGTAGACTCAGCACAGAGACCCATAGACTCATCACACACAGAGACCCATAGACTCATCACACAGCAGTATTAACTAGGGCGGTCGTTGGGGTTGAACCTCCTATACGGGCAGTGAACTTGGAGGTGGCCAATTAATTTAGTTATGCAAATGGTTCAACAGGAGTGTCTGTGACTAACGTTCTCTCTCCCTCTCTCTTGTCTCCTACACTCACCACCACCACTAACTATCACCACCACCACCACCACTCCCACCACCACCACCGCCACCTCAACCACCACCACCTCAACCACTCCCACCACTACCACCACCACGACCACCACCACTCCCACCACCACTCCCACCACTACCCCCACCACTCCCCCCACCACCACCACCCCCCCCCTCCACTCCCCCCCCCCCACCACCACAACCACCCCCACCACCACCCCCCCCACTCCCCCCCCACCACCACCACCCCCCCCACCACCACAACCACCCCCACCACCACCCCTCCACCACTTCCCCCCCCCACCACCACCACCCCCCCCACCACGCCCCCCGCAGCCCATCTCCGCGCGCCGCGTCCGACCGCCGTGTCAAGCGAGAGCGCCGCGAGTCTCGCCGAGCGGCGATGGTGGAGCGTCTCAAGGAGATGCGGTGCCGGCAGTCCCTTGCCGAGCGGGCGGCCGCCGACCACGCCGGCGCTCCGGCGTCACCGGCGTCGCCGGCGTGGTGGTGGCGGCGCTGGCGGCGGTGGCACGGCCGCTGGGGGTGGCGGCCGCTGATGGCCGGAGCTTTCCTGATCGGGGCCTTGTCGCTAGGCCTCTACGCCGGGTGCCGGACCTACGTCTAGAGATGGCGCCACCCTCGCGAACCGTGGGTGGGCGGTGGTGGTGGTGGCGGTGGTGGTGGTGGTGGCGGTGGTGGTGGTGGTGGCGGTGGTGGTGGTGGTGGCGGTGGTGGTGGTGGTGGCGGTGGTGGTGGTGGTGGCGGCGGTGGTGGCGGTGGCGGCGGTGGTGGCGGTGGCGGCGGTGGTGGCGGTGGCGGTGGCGGCGGTGGTGGCGGTGGTGGCGGTGGCGGTGGCGGTGGCGGTGGCGGTGGCGGTGGCGGTGGGGGGCGGTGGGGGGTGGTGGTGGTGGTGGTGGTGGTGGTGGTGGCGGTGGCGGTGGGGGGCGGTGGGGGGTGGTGGCGGTGGCGGTGGTGGTGGTGGCGGTGGGGGGCGGTGGGGGGTGGTGGGGGGGGGGTTCTGTATCGGCTGTTGCCACCGCCGCCACCGCCACACCGCGTGGGAGGCGGCCATGTTGCTGCCACCCCATCTTTATCATCATCATCCTGATCATCATCATCATCCTCATCATCATCTTCGTCATCATCCGCCCCTCACTCCCTCCCATTTCTTGCCGCGTGTGGAAGGCGGCCATGTTGCCGCCACCACCACCACCACCACCACCACCTTCTCGACCGTCACCACCACCGTCATCACCACCGTCACCACCACCAGGACATCACCATCACAACCATCACCACCACCGTCACCACCACCGTCACCACCACCGTCACCACCATCACAACCACCATCACCACCATCACCACCACCGTCACCACCACCGTCATCACCACCGTCACCACCATCACCACCATCACCACCGTCACCACCACCAGGACATCACCATCAGCACCATCACCACCACCATCACCACCATCACCATCACCACCACCACCATCACCACCACCGTCATCACCACCAGGACATCACCATCATCACCACCATCACCGTCATCACCACCACCATCACCACCACCATCACCACCACCGTCACCACCGTCACCACCATCACCACCATCACCACCATCACCACCACCGTCACCACCACCGTCATCACCACCAGGACATCACCATCACTACCATCACCACCATCGTCACCACCATCACAACCATCACCACCATCACCATTACAACCACCGTCAACACCATCGCCACCATCACCACCGTCGTCACCACCACCACCATCACCACCACCACTATCACCACCACCATCACCACCACCATCACCACCACCATCACCACCACCATCACCACCATCACCACCATCACCACCACCATCACCACCACCATCACCACCACCATCACCACCACCATCACCACCACCATCACCACCACCATCACCACCACCATCACCACCACCATCACCACCACCATCACCACCATCACCACCATCACCACCATCACCATGGTCAAGATGTCCCCCTCCCACCCGGTCCTGTCGTGGTTCTGCACGTGGCGTTTGCGGTTGGGGGGGGGTGGTGGGGGGGTGGTGGGGGGGTGGTGGGGGGGTGGTGGGGGGGTGGTGGGGGGGTGGTGGGGGGGTGGTGGGGGGGTGGTGGGGGGGCTGATGGGGGGGGGGATGGCCCCGGGGGGAGGGGCGTGAGATTTCTGTGGGGGTCAAGAGTTTGTGTTGCGCTCTCTCTCCCTCACTCTCTCTGTTTGTTTCTGTCTCTCTGTCTCTCTAACTCTCTCTCTGTCTCTCCCTCACTGTCTCTCACTCTCTCTCTGTCTCTCTGTCACTCACTCTCTCTCTGTCTCTCTCTGTGTCTCTCTGTCTGTCTCTCTCTCTCTGTCTCTCTCTCTGTCTCTCTAACTCTCTCTGTCTCTCTGTCTCTCTCTCTGTCACTCACTCTCTGTCTCTCTCTGTCTCTCTCTGTGTCTCACTCTCTCTCTGTCTCTTACTCACTCTCACTCACTCTCTCTCTCTCTCTGTCTCTCTCACTCTCACACTCTCACTCACTCTGTCACTCACTCTCTGTCTCTCTGTCTCTCTGTCTCTCTGTCTCTCTGTCTCTCTGTCTCTCTGTCTCTCTCACACTCTCTGTCTCACTCCCTCACTGTCTCTCTCTCTGTCTCTCTCACTCTCTCTGTCTCTTACTCACTCTCTGTCTCACTCCCTCACTGTCTCTCTCACTCTGTCTCTCTCTCTGTCTCACTCCCTCACTGTCTCTCTCACTCTGTCTCTCTCTCTGTCTCACTCCCTCACTGTCTCTCTCACTCTGTCTCTCTCTCTGTCTCACTCCCTCACTGTCTCTCTCACTCTGTCTCTCTCTCTGTCTCACTCCCTCACTGTCTCTCTCACTCTGTCTCTCTCTCTGTCTCACTCCCTCACTGTCTCTCTCACTCTGTCTCTCTCTCTGTCTCACTCCCTCACTGTCTCTCTCACTCTGTCTCTCTCTCTGTCTCACTCCCTCACTGTCTCTCTCACTCTGTCTCTCTCTCTGTCTCTCTCACTCTCTCTGTCTCTTACTCACTCTCTGTCTCTCTGTCTCTCTCTGTGTCTCTCTCACTCTCTCTGTCTCTCTCTCTGTCTCTTACTCACTCTCTGTCTCTCTCACTCTCACACTCTCTCTCTGTCTCTCTGTCTCTCTCTCTGTCTCTCTGTCTCTCTCTCTGTCTCTCTGTCTCTCTCACTCTCTCTGTCTCACTCCCTCACTGTCTCTCTCACTCTGCTGAGTGATGATCGCTCTGCCGCCCGCTCGCTCGCACGCCGACGATGACGTCGATGATGACGTTGTCGATGATGACGTCGATGTCAACGATGACGTCGATGATGACGTCAATGTCAACGATGACGTCGATGATGACGTTGATGTCAACAATGACGTTGTCGATGATGACGTCGATGTCAACGATGACGTCAATGTCAACGATGACGTTGTCTATGATGACGTTGATGTCAACGATGACGTTGTCTATGATGACGTTGATATCAACGATGACGTTGTCTATGATGACGTTGATGTCAACGATGACGTCGATGATAACGTTGATGTCAACGATGACGTCTATGATGACGTCAATGTCAACGATGACGTCTATGATGACGTTGATGTCAACGATGACGTCAATGTCAACGATGACGTCTATGATGACGTTGATGTCAACAATGACGTTGTCGATGATGACGTTGATGTCAACGATGACGTCGACGATGACGTCGATGACGTTGATGTCAACGATGACGTCGATGATGACGTTGATGTCAACGATGACGTCGATGATGACGTTGATGTCAACGATGACGTCGATGATGACGTCGATGATGACGTTGACCTCGATGATGACGTTGATGTCAACGATGACGTTGTCGATGATGACGTTGATGTCAACGATGACGTCGATGATGACGTTGATGTCAACGATGACGTCGACGATGACGTTGATGTCAACGATGACGTCGATGATGACGTCGATGATGACGTTGACCTCGATGATGACGTTGATGTCAACGATGACGTTGTCGATGACGTTGATGTCAACGATGACGTCGATGATGACGTCGATGATGACGTTGACCTCGATGATGACGTTGATGTCAACGATGACGTCGATGATGACGTCGATGATGACGTTGACCTCGATGATGACGTTGATGTCAACGATGACGTTGTCGATGATGACGTTGATGTCAACGATGACGTCGATGATGACGTCGATGATGACGTTGACCTCGATGATGACGTTGATGTCAACGATGACGTTGTCGATGATGACGTTGATGTCAACGATGACGTCGACGATGACGTCGATGACGTTGATGTCAACGATGACGTCGATGATGACGTTGATGTCAACGATGACGTCGATGATGACGTCGATGATGACGTTGACCTCGATGATGACGTTGATGTCAACGATGACGTCGATGATGACGTTGATGTCAACGATGACGTTGTCGATGACGTCGATGATGACGTCGATGATGACGTTGACCTCGATGATGACGTTGATGTCAACGATGACGTTGTCGATGACGTCGATGATGACGTCGACGACGTCAACAATGACGTCAATGACGATGACGTCAACGATGACGTCAATGATGTCGACGTAGTCGATGACGATGTTGTCGACGATGTTGTTGATATTGTTGATGTTGTTGATGTTGTTGATGATGATGTTGTTGATATTGATGTTGTTGATGTTGTTGTCGTTGACGTCGTCGCTGTACAATGCCAATGCGCTCTCCGAAGAAGACCGCTATTTTTTTATTTAAACCTCCTTGTAAAGTGGAACGCGTGCGCACAAGACACGTCACGTGACACACGTCACGCATGTACACACGTGCACACGTCACGTGCGTACACACGTGCGTACACACGTGCACACGTCACGTGCGTACACACGTGCGTACACACGTGCACACGTCACGTGCGTACACACGTGCACACGTCACGTGCGTACACACGTGCACACGTCACGTGCGTACACACGTGCACACGTCACGTGCACACGTCACGTGCACACGTCACGTGCGTACACGTCACGTGACACACGCACGTACACACGTCACGCACGTACACGTCACGCATGTACACACGTCACGCATGTACACACGCACGTAAACACGTCACGTGCGTGCACGTCACGCATGTACACACGACACGCACACACGTCACGTGCGTACACGTCACATGACACACGCATGTACACACGTCACATGCGTACACGTCACGTGACACACGCACGTACACACGACACGTGCATACGCATGTACACACGTCACGTGCGTACATGTCACATGACACACGCATGTACACACGACACGTGCACACGTCACGTGCGTACACGTCACGTGCGCACAAGACACGCACGTACACACGTCACGTGCGTACACGTCACATGACACACGCATGTACACACGTCACGTGCGTACACGTCACGCATGTACACACGACACACACGTACACATGACACACGCATGTACACACGTCACGTGCGTACACGTCACATGACACACGCATGTACACACGACACATACACACGACACATACACACGTACACACGATGACACACAACACGCACACACAACACGACACGCATGTACACACGACACACGCATGTACA